GGTTTATGCCAGGTTTGGAATGACATTGGATTCTATTTCTCAAAAATCTTTGTGTGATGTAGATGCTTGAAACGAGTTATATCTTCAATCTTCTTATTCCCCCTTTGCGGCAGCAATATTTTCCTGGGAGTTCTTTTGACAGATATTGGATTGTTCTATATTTGCTGATGTTTGGTCTAGAATTGTGGAGTTTATTTGGTTTCATTTTGTGCCAATTTCCCCTTTGCGGCAACAATATTTTCCTGGGAGTTCTTTTGACAGATATTGGGTTGTTCTATATTTGATGATATTTGGTCTAGAATTGTGGAGTTTATTTGGTTATATTTGGTTTCATTTTGTGCCACTTCAGGTTTTCGACAACCACGGAACACACACCTTGGTCAAGCAAATTCTGCTTGGCAACACCACGTGTGTTTCACAGAAGCAGCTCTCGGAGATTGAATGGTTTTCCAGGCTCACCTACAAGACAATGCCGGACAGTGTGATTGGAAACATGAACTTTTCGCAAGCGTTCATTGATGGAGATGCATTTTTCTGCCTCAATGGCCCCCTCCATTTGCAGAAGAACTTCTGTTCGGCCCTCCGGGGGGGGCGGCTCGATCTATGTGGGAGATTTGTTTGTGGACATTTCTGGACTCACTGAGCTAGACCTCCCACCGGCACCATATGCAGGCTACGACAGCCAAAGCGACCTTTTGGCTGCCATGCTCTTGAACCCATTCCACTATGTCACCAAGATTCCGGATCATGTAGGTGATGTCCGGGCTCCTGGGAAGGATTTCAACGGCGATCTTTTGATTCATTTGTTTCTGTTCGATTTCATTTTTCGCAACAGACTGACTGTTGGGAACTGAAATGAACTGGCCGAAGAAATCTGAGATGTCCCAGGTACCTTGGTGCTTGAAAGGCGCCCTTGTTGTGAACTTGATCTTTGCCATGGTCCAAGCGGCAGTTCTACACCCTGGCCTTGATCCGAAGCAGCGGGTAGAGTTGGCTCTCACCACTTTTTCTTTGATCGACATGGCCCAGTTGCTCTCGGACGAGAAAGCAGCCCGCCTCGGAGTGAGAAAGGGCTCACTTTTCGTCAACAAGGTCACCTGCGGCAACTACAAACAATTGTGCGCTTTTGTCTGCTTGATGTGCCTCAACTGGCCATCAGGTATGTTGTTTGCTCCAGAGTCCATGAGCGAGATCAACATCGAGTCCTGGTTTGGACACCTTCGTCACCAATTCGAATCTAGCATGATGTCTGTCCGAGACTTTTGCATGGCGAGCGTCAAGCAGATGAGAAGCTTTCAGCATATGGCCAACTCAGCATCAAAAGTTTTGCCCTGCAAGCCATCGGATAAAGCTGTGACTGCCCAGGACTGAAATATCAAGCTTATCAAGAAAGCATGTTCGATCATGTTTTGCTTCAAGATAAAAATCAAAATCTAAACCAACGCATCGATGATATAGTCTGCTGTTTGGTTTGTTATATTTGTTTGCCTTTTGGATCTTTTAGGAGTATCGTGATTGCGCTGAACGGGCCCTGCAAAGCGCAGCTCAGCTGATGTCTCTTTGCTCTGAATCTCACTCACCAGCCAAGCTCCTGAAGGCACACATCGCTTTTGCAAGCTCGGAATCGGCCGCTTCAGCATTGGCAGATGCGCTTGGGTCGCCCCAGCGTAGGTTTGATGAAGCCCCCTTTTTTTGATGAGGATGACGAGGTCGATATGGGTGAGGAATTTGCAGATGTCGATGTAGACGATGAGACCTTGGCTGCTGGCGACCAGGAGTGCTTCAATCTTCTGAAGCAATTGAAGGCACGTGAGAAGTTTGACGTGGAAGAGTGTCCAGTGGATGTTCCAGATTCTCACGCCTGTCGGAATTCCAAAGCACCCAGCCAACTTGGCCAGAAGGCAGACATCCCCGATCAGGAAGCCCTATTCGAGTGTGTGGACATTGAGGTTGATGAAGACCTCAAGCCAGATAAGCCAGATGGAACAGATGTGGATGATGTGGCTGCAAAAATAATGCAGACACTGAGAAACATAAGAAAGCTCGAAAGACTTGCACTGGCTTCACCAAGGCCCTCACTCTCAACGAGGTTTTTTGCGAGTGTCCAATGTGGCCAAAAGCTTTGGATGATGTTTTACCCCAGCTGTGGAAGCTGGTAGTGAACCTCCGTGCAGGATGTGATCGCAAAGTCCTCCCCCGGCCCGAAAACTTACGCCGGGCCAATCGTCGCTGGAATTGGCACCAAGCTTTGGAACATGAAACCGCAATGCTCCGCAAAGACCAAGGCGTTTCAGGCAATCGGATTTCCAGAATGGCTGCATGGTGTGCCGTTTCCAAGGGAATGGCAGAGCAGTTGGGCAAAGGTGAGGTGCCTGTTCCAGAGACGCTTTCTACTGGAGACGTGCTGCTGGCGTTGCCGCCACAAAAGCCAGCTCAGTGGCAAGTGGTTTGCGTTTTGTGCTTTGGCAGCGATCCAGGAATAGAATATATAAATTAAATTCTTGCACCATATTCAAAACAGAGGGACACAAACAAAAGAAATGCATGGCACTACGACATTGTGGATTTTATTTTGCTTTTTTTTCTAGACCAAAAACTCAACAAAACGAGTTAAACGGAGTTATTTATGTGAATGGGTACATCTGAATAAAATAAATTCCAGGGGAATGCACTGTGATGACTACATTTCAAAGAGTATTGGTTGCTTTGGCTGATGATTTTAGGATTTAATTCCTTACAGTTTGGTGTGTTCTCTCCCAGGTGCACCTGGAGATGGGCCAAGAATAAGAAGCGCCTGACGCATGTTCCAGTTCCTGTGCATGCTCTTCATTCCTTTCGAGCAGTGATCATGACACCAAAAGAGGGTGTGGAAGGAATCTTTGTGGCTGAGAGTGGGCACCGCGCTATGGTCTTGGCCAAAGAACGCATTGGTCTTCAGCTCAAGTGTGAGGTTTCACGATCTTTGGAAAAGCTTGAAGCCCACTTGCACCCAGCTTCCCTGGAAGCTGTTCAGTCGGCACACCAATGGGTTGGGTGGTCCCAACTCCTTGCCAAAGCTGGCGCTGCGAAGACTTTTGCGCCTGTTCCGAATTTGAAGGAGACCAGGGGCCGGAAGCGCAAGGCCATGGAATCCAATAGTACCACTGAGATCACTGAGGAGTCCCAGGTGCATTCGCAGGAGCCCATGCAGAAAAATCCGAAGAGGGCCTTGGGACAAACTCTTTTGAAGCAGATGAAATCCATGACGCAGGCCGAATCGATGGAGAAGTGCGCGGCCGTGGTAGAGAGCCTCAAGTCCCAGGACGAGCCACTTCGTTTGCCACATATTTTCCGCCGCAGCAGGGATGGCCACAAAGCGATCGTGCAGGAGATGACCGCCTTGTTTGAGCTTGACCTCAAGGTTTTTGCTTCGAAGCCGTTGGCCGGAAAGGATGGCTTCATCGTGGCAAAGGACGGCAAGACCAAACACAAGATGAGAGACATCATCGAGCGTACGCCAGAGTACTTCTCCAATCTCTTTGCTCAGGTGCGAAATCCAGAGACCTACAGCAAGGGTTTGCATGGCATCTTCTCGAAGATTCGTTCCCAGTTGATGGCAAACCCTCCCAACCGCTTCGAGACTTGGTTTCTCCACACCTTCAGCCTTATCAGCCTTCATGTTTTTCTTTGGGGATCTTTCGTGTGTGCGTTTTCATTAAAAAGTAAATCCAAACTGTGAAAGCCTGCCAGCCCAGGAATTCAAAAAGCTTGTCTTGGACATTCCGCTGGGATCGCTGTGAGCTTTCTTGGACATTCATTCGTGCAAGAAACAGAGAGAAAAAGAGTTCATTTTCGAGCAGTGACGATTGTAGATATTGATGATACTGTAGGGCGGGAAGAGAACAGGGAGATGCGGGGAGAGCCTTTGGTGTGAGGAAGACAGAGACATACAGAGACGGGGATGATTTTGAGATATTGCAGGACACGTAAGGAGCACAGGAAAAAATTTACAGCAGACAGTTGACAAAAGCACGTCAGGCACACAGGAAATAATTTTGTGTGTATACGCCTTCGAAGACGTCGGTTATAGGGATATTATTCTCGTGCAGCATTTCTGTGACATTCTATGCAGACGTTTAGTACAGTGAACTTTATTTTTCGATTCTGTCTATAAGAAAAAAGCTGACAATTGCTTGCTCAAAAAAAAATATTTTGAAGCGATGCTTGCAGACGTTGGCTCATACCGTTTTATCAAAATAAAATCCTTGACTAGACCCTTTTTGTCGGTACCAACGGGGATTTTACTGTAGTGAGCTTGGTTTAGAACATTCACTTGCCTTAAACTTTAGGATGCTAGGTGAGATGTGGCACGGCGCATCTCAATGCTAAGTTTCGTGAATTTGTGCAACTCACCCACATGCTCGAACATGGTTGAACACCAGTACCGCAATTTACGTACAATCATGCTGGACCAACTGCTGGACCATACTTCTGCCAAGTCAGGCTCAACAAGTTGAACAGTTGGAGCGAAGACCACAACAGGCAGGGAAAGCGACAATCTAGGATACGGGATACGGTGGCAGATCGAGTACCAACCGTTTGGTGTGGAACAACCTGCAGCATTTTGCTCATTGGTGAATTGGCGAGCTGAACGGGTTCCCTCCACCCTCTGGCCCCATGGACCCTAATCAGGAAAATTGTAAGATGCTATATATATATATAATATGTATATATATATATATATGAATGTAAGTTTGGCTAATGCGTGAAGATACTCATGCAGGTGTACCCCGATGCTGGCATGAGTTGGGCAGACAGAGCTGCACGTGCTCCGGCCGGAGTACCTTGGCGACGCTGGGAGTGGCGGCGTTGATCAAAGCTGCAGCTCTGTGAGGGACAAGTGTCGTTTTGGCACGCACCACGTAGCATGTAGGCTGCCTGTAGGCTTGTAACTGTGCCAGCACTAGCCCGAGCATTTCTACTCCCTGCGTGTTGTCTCTACCTTGCGCGTCTGCCGTCTCAGCTCAAGTCACACGATCATGTCTCACCAGTACGGGCTTCCATGTTTGATGATCTCCATGAGGCCTCGTCACAGGCACTGGTGGACCTCATCCTTCAGGAGCTGGACAGTGACTCGCGGCTACAGCAAGCCTTACAGGCGGGGAACCTGCAGGACATTGAGGTGGAACTGAGGTCCTTCTTGGAGGATGAAGTGTCCCACTTCCCTGAAGACCTTGCAGAACTCAGTGCCGTGGCTGGAAGGGTTAAAGGAGGACACAGTAGTTTGCAAAAACCCTCGTGCGCCACGTGTCAATGGAATAACCTCCGTAAGCACTCTCTTTCAACCCATAGTCGTTGATCCTTTCACAAGCTTATGGGTCTTGCCAATTTCCGAGCGCTTACCTGCCTCTCGCACATTTATCACCGTAAACTTGCCCAGTGCTTTCTTCGGCCCATATATGGTTTGGAATGGTTTGGAGATGCTCCTCCCTTCCAACCGTGCCCAGTACTATCGGAGATCCGATCCTTTTTGGCCTTACTCGGAGCAAAGACGCTACTAGGGGCTCCTGGCCGTACTACTAGGAGCAAGGACGCTACTCTCCTGGCCGTACTGCTAGGAGCAAAAGACGCTACTAGTCAAGTGAATTCACTTGACTTCCCCAGAGTCGCCGATTTCAGGCGTGGGTCCTTTGCTGGATGTCTTGGCTGAAGCCTTAGAGACGTCGAAAGCGTCGGAGCACGAAAAACTAGCGCCTTGGTGAGCAATCTGGGCCATTGTGAGCGAAACCCAAAAGGGAGGGCTTTGGAGGGTGCTCTGGTTGCTCTGTGAGCTGGGAGCTGGCGACCAAGCCAAAGGTACATAACATCATCGGTATACTCTAAGCAGCGCCATCCAGGCTAGTATTCAGGTTGTCAATGGCTATCTCAACGTACCACAGTTTTGCGATGTTTTGAGTGTGACACCCTGTCGGTTTTTGGAAGCATGATTCCGCCATCCTTGTTTTACCGACTTGCACATCACATGCCAGCCAGCTACAATGAGAACGTTTGGAGGTCATGGGTCATGAAGATCTCCCATTCACCCATCTCTTTCTGCGAGGAAACCTGTATTTCCTTGCTGCGGTCGGTGCTGCGGGCTGATGAGCGTGTCACACAGTTTCTTGAGGATGCGCACGCCCTAGTTGATGACAGCTCGGATGTTGAAAACGGCATGTCGGTTGAAGCAACCGGGGAAGATGTCCACACGACAAGTTTGGAGGATTTGGCCATGTCAAAAGAACAGGCCACAGAAGTCCAAGATGCCTGGAAAGCTTTTCTCGAGAGCGCTGGCAGCGAGGATGCCGCAGCAGAGGGGCTGTTCAATGCCTTCTATGAAGCTGCGCCGGCACTTCAGCCTTTGTTTAAGACATCACGTGCTGTGTTGTCTGGCATGTTCTTCCGCGGGATCCAGCAGATTGTCATGTCCCTGCACAACGGTAAGCAAGCCCGAGCATTTGTAGAGGTCCTAGGCGCGGTCGGGAAAGGCCGTACAAGGCCTTTTGCGGGGATAATGAGCGAATGATAGCGAATGTAGAATGATGGAAGGATGTAGAATGTACATCGGCCCTTCAATTCTGAAAGATGAACAGTATGCCTGGAGTCCTATTTCCAATCATGACGGGGGCGCCCCTCTTGCCATGATTGCTCTTATCTTTTTGCCAAAGCGTGGCACCCTGCGAGGCTTCCGACACCTGGAAATCGAAGTGACATCTCCTCGAGTTTCTGCCTTCAGGGAGTCAATCTTGGATCTTTCCCAAGCGGAGCTCGGAGATCGCTTCAGCACCCTAGCCTTTGAGGGCTTCCGGAAGATGTTGAACTATGTTGGAGGAGGCTCGGTGCTAGGCATGTCTTCCATTCCCTCACCCAATTGTTTTTGTTTTTTGTCAGTTCACTGAGCTTTGCAAATAGATGATAATCCTGTCAAAACCTGATGTCAATGTCAAGCCTGAGAGGTTTGGTCTTCATCCGGGAGCACTTCAAGGATCGGCTGCGGATTTTATCCACAAGCTGGGCTGTTGCGAACTCTACTGCAGGCCAAGAGCCAGAGGAGGAAGAAGAGATGGCAACCATGAAGAGCAACTCTCAGGAGCCTTCCCAGTCACAGTCACAGACTCAGCGCTCATCGCTTGAACATGATGGCCAAGCTGCCAAGCAGCCTGCCAACAATACCAAGTTGAACATCGGGGCGCAAAACGTCCCCGCGACCTTTAGCGATATGTTCTGCTTCAACGCTGCGGTCATGGGACTTGATGATCGTCTTTGGATGTACGAGGTTCTGAAGTCTTTTGACGCTGTGGTGCGGAATGTGGCCAGCTCAAACCGCTTGCAGGAGCCCATGTCATGTAGAATTGAACGATCACTGTTTTGGCAAGCTCAATTGCTCATTTTTGAAAGGGCTTTTCAACTCCTAAACGAGGGATGAGCATCCTGTACCCACAGCCCCCAGCTGTTTGGCTTAAATAGATAGATCGGCTGAGTTTTGCTCAAAGAGCCAGGAAGAGTGCAACGTGATCTCCCTGCGGATGGCCAAGATTCCAGGGGTGATCCATCTAAATGATTTCAAAGCGATCATGATGGCATCCCTTCGATCGTTGGTGCCCAAAGGATGGGACCAGCACCATGAAGAGGCCTGGATTTGGCTTTGGTCCAATGTGGAGCAGATTTTGCAACAAGAAGTGGGAAAGTTGGCTCCCCGGGGGCGGCTGGTGTCGCGCTATGTGGGCTCCATGGAGCAAGACTCTGAGGAGAAGCTGAGTAAAATGATCTATCAGAAGTTCTTCGGCGTGGCACCTGAGGGCCAGGACCATGTTGACAATGTGCGGTTGCATGGACATGGCAGTCGTTGGAAAGTGTAAGTACCCTTGGCATCAAATGATGTAGCACCTCTAGTTTCCATGACAGGACTTTTTCAAGCAGTCCGCCAGTCGTCTGAACTTCATTGTGCACCAGATCTTCCAGATCACGGTCCAAATCTACCAAGATCCTGGGCCCTGTTTTGTTTGTGACCTTTTTGGCGGAGGGGATCCCGGATCCGTTTTGTTGGACTCTTTGTCCTTAAGATTCCTTAAGTATTAATAACGATGGCCTCCAACCTAATAGCAATGGTCTCCAACCCATCAAGTATTCTTACGTCCTCTCCATTTGCAGCTCCGGTGCTGCGGTTCGCCAGGATCCTCCACGGATGGTGGATGAGCTCTCAGCCCTGGGGCTGCGCCACGTGGGCTATGGCATTCCCACGGTCTTTTTCGGCCCCTTCGTGAGTTGCGTCATAGAGTCGGTGAAGGATGGAGCGAACGCAAAAGGGTTTGATACGATTTGCATTAGAAGAAGAAGACGAAGAAATCAGAAACATGTCTTTTTTCTGGGAAGATCCTGTGAGACCAAACAGGTCTGACGATCTAATAAGTTATTTTGTTGCCAGGTTAATGGAATCAAAGGAGGGTCATTATATAAGAGTTCCCCAAGAAAGCACCGGAACTCATATTTTTCTAGGATTTTTTTTGTTTTTTTTAGGATTTTTTTTTTCACGTTTAGGCATTAGGTATCTCTGTTGGCTTCTGGTGGCTTCTGGTAGCTTTTGCTAGCTTCTGTTGGCTTTTGCTGGCTTCCGGTGGCTTTTACTGGCTTTTGGTGGCTTTTGCTGGTGGCTTTTGGTGGCTTTTGGTGGCTTCTGGTGGCTATTTTGTTGGCTTCTGGTGGCTATTTTGTTGGCCTCTGGTGGCTTTTGGTGGCTTCTGGTAGCTTTTGTTAGCTTCTGTTGGCTTTTGCTGGCTTTTGTTGGCTTCTGGTGGCTTCTGGTAGCTTTTGCTAGCTTCTGGCGGCTTTTGCTGGCTTCTGGTGGCTTTTACTCGCTTTTGGTGGATTTTGTTGGCTTCTGTGGGATTTTGGTGGCTTCTGGTGGCTTTTGTTGGCTTCTGGTGGCTTTTAGTGGCTTCTGGTAGCTGTTGCTCGCTTCTGTTGGTTTTTGCTGGCTTCTGTTGGCTTTTGGTGACTTGTGTTGACTTTCGAAGGCTTCTGTTGGCTTTTGTTGCTTTTTGCTTTTGTGGCTGTTCGCTATCCTTGCTTTGCTTATGTGATGCAGGAAGGAAGAAAGGAAGGAGGGAAGGAAGGAAGGAAGGACGGGAAGGGAAGGAAAGAAGGCAGCAAGAAAGGAAGGAAGGAAAGAAGGTGAGCACTTGCAGGTGGCCAGCTTGCGGAGAAACAACTATCATTTTGGAGACACGAGCCTGAGGGAAGGCGCCCACAACAGGACCAGAAAAAAATTCCCCCAAAAAACGGAAACAAATTCCTTTAAAAAAACGCGGCCCCAAGAAAGCGTTATGAACACAGAGGCATATGGCCCGAATGGCATTTTAGAGGAGCTTTGATTTTCAGAATACTTGGCTTCGTAGCTTCCTTCGGCTTATTGAGGAGATCACGAACAACGACCAGGCTCTTTGTGATGCCTTTGCTTGGTCTTTGGGCTTGGTCTCGCAGATCTTGATGCGGACCATTGACGAAGGCTCTACTCTGGTGATGAAGGCCATCAACATGAATTCGGCGAGGCACATCATACGGGCCCTGTCGGATACTCCACGCAAGCGAAGGGCAATGGCCATGCTCAAGGTGACGGTGACCTGGCCGAAGATTCCCATGACACGTCCATTACTCCATTACATTCATGTCATTCACGACAGGTGGGTTTTCTAAAGAATAACATGTGTGCTTCAGGGAATTGCCATTGGCGTCAGGTTTCAACAATTGCTCCTCTGGTGAATTGTGGAGACGCATTCTGAATCTAGAACTAATGACCTGTGTGCGTGCGTGTGTGTGTGTGTGTGTCAACCCCTGTTCCAAAGGGTGCCTTTCGGACTCTCCACTTCACTTTTCATACGCAGGGGCGTCAGGCTCGATACACCTACCTGACGCAACGAAGCTCTGGTGTATCGAGGGATGGGTGGACTGATCATCCACCTGTACCTGCTTCAACGGTTGAGCAAGCTGTTCCAATCCTCCTTTTTTGATTCCATGGTGGTTCATGATACTTCCCACAAACCTTCCACTTTCTCACGCAGCTGAATTGTACAGAGGCTCGCCACTGCACACCTGTCGAAACTTTGTTCAACAATACGGTTTTGCTGACTCATGCACCTTTCCGTTCCATCGCCTTCCTTCTCATCGTGGGAATTGAGTTAACAGCAAACCAATGTCAGAGTGTGAGAGCCATGAAGTTGATATCCCGAGGTTGGCACACAGTCCATCTCCCCTTTGCTTTGGGCCATCCAAAGCGGTAGCATGGAGGCTGCACAGGCGATCGTCCAGGACTTGCTCACGATTCGTGCGGACCGAGACAGATATTATTTCGGTGCCGATGACCTGTTCACAAGGCATCCTGACATCATACAGGCCAGCAGAAACAGTATTTATATTTGTCGTGTTTGTCGGGTCATATAGAATATAGGGTAGAGGGAGGTAGGCAGCTAGGGGGGAGTAGCAAGCAGAAGGCACTCTGAACGAAACGCGATGAAGCAGCAATTTTTTGGATTTCCTTTTGGGATCTTCGGGGTTGTACGGAGTTTTGATGAGGGATTGTGTGTTGCACATTTATGATCGGCTTCATGGGAAAAGAAATCCTGTCCACTCAAATTCAGAATGTGCAACATATGAGGAACTGTGACTGTTTGTGTTTGACATCACTGGCCGGAGACTTTTGGGAACTGCAATTTCATGCCTCATCGGGACCAATTCATTTGTCACGGACTCTGCGCAAAATGAGAGGTTATCACCACTGAAGCCAGACCTTTGATCCGGGTGTTGCTCGATCGCTTGCTCTGGCGCTCCCGTTTGGTGGTGGCTGGTCATCGCCGAGTGCCGCTGAGCGAAACAAGGGACAACTGGTATATAGAATCTCAAAAGAAAGACTTCAAGGAACATTTACCGTAAGCCGTAAGCCTAAGCAGCGGCCACAACTCCCAACTTGCCTTTGGCAATTTTTAGTGATCAATGCTTGGCACAATGCTCATGAATGTGTAAGTGCACAAAATGTATCTCACGCACATGTCGGTATAAATAAACAAACACACACACATTTATATATATATATACAGTATGCATATAAGTGTAGCCTATATCAATGATGTACACATTGAGCCCGTGAAACTTTTGGGGGGATGGACACCTTAGAGTCTTAGAGTGAATCCGCTCGGCATTCTTTTGGTGTCCACACAGACCACAACCTTTTCGTTGCAGAGTGGTTGTGTGAATTTGGTATGTCAGGAATATCTACTTGCAGCATTTGCTCGTGACTGCTGATGGGCAGTTTGCAGATGCGCTGTGCTGGGTTAGCAAAATGAAGGATCCGACCATTGTCACCCACACAGTCCTAGAAAGGTTAACCGACTTGGTCTGGAACAAGGTGATATATTTGCCATTCTTGCTGAGCAAGGTATGGCTTCTATTCTCTTTGATGGTCTTCCTCTTCAGCCAATCTATCTTGAAGAATTTCCTACAGGCTGAGAGCATTGACCACCAGGTCGTGCGCATCACGACCTTTGTGTGCAGAGCCTTCGTCTATATGGCCAGCATGACAGAGCTGATCTATTCCCAAAGCAAAGTGGCCATCAAGGCGATCAGAACGAGGGACTTGACCCGTCTTTTCCAGATACCTTTGCCATCCAAATATGTCACAGACTGGAGAGAAGCCGTTAGCATCACATTGACACTAATCTTGATCTGCATGTTCATGGTTGAGCCCATCCTTTTTTGCCTGGAGCACTTTGAGGGGGATTTCGAGGGCGCTGGCCGATTCACGGCGCAATGTCCACAAGCAGCTGATGTCCAGGATTTCTATTCGATCCTCTCGATGTTTGGCATGTTCTGTTGCCTGGCGTTTTCATCACATGCTTGTTTCCCATTCTAGGCCGTAGCTCGGCCCCAGCAAGTTGTTCCATCTTGTTTCTAGGTCCTTAGAGTTAATATGATTCAACTGCCAGCGAGGCTACTTTGCGCTCTTGGTGGACTTCAGCGCTCTCTTTATTCCTTTGTCAGCGTTCGTCCTGACCGCTGGCCGCCTGCTGCCAGACCTGCTTCTGTCACTGTCCGCAGCCATTTTTTGTGTGATTGTCTTTGGGACGGCCGTCACGGTGTCCCAAGGCAACCCAGCAGACTTTCGGGATGTCTTTTCTGCAATGATGACCCTTTTCCAGATCAGCGTGGGCATGTATCCTCAACAGAACTTTATCCAGCTTGAGCACTCGCGATGGCTTTTGGTGATGTGTGTAGGCTTCGTTGTTTTGGTTGTGATTTTCTTGTTCAACTTGCTCATTGCACAACTCATTGGCTCCCATGCGACTGTTTACCGCACGGTTGTGGGCCTGGCTCGTTTGAACCGTATGGCCGTTATCTGCGACTCAATGCCCTCTGTCCGGCAAAAAGTCTTTCGAAACTTCATTCAGAGCTTGAGGCTTGATCATCGTATGGAGTTTGGGGAAGGAGACATCGGCTTGCCCGGAGGGATTCAGGTCTTGGAGCCTGCAGGTCTGCACCCCACCTACGAGGATAGCATCCATCGCTATGGAGGCTCGACGTCTCCCAACATGCCCTGGCCAGAGGAAGACGAGGAGGTCAGCAATAGCATAGAAGACAGGATCGACAACATCACGCGCATCTTCAAGAAGGCCTTGAAAAGAATGCATTTGCAAGAAGGGAAAAGATCTAGAAGCAGTAGAAGCAGTACATCCGACAGCAGCATCAACGATTCTTCTCAATCTTCTATAACATCAAGCTGAAGGGCGGAAACCGCAGCACCTACCAGGGGCTGGGGATGCTCTGAATTCGAATGCATCTTATGATGCCAGTTGCTTTCAGGACCAGTGGACTCATTCCATCTAGTGTTTCACAAAACCAAAGACGCAGCCCCCAAACAGGGGTGATCCTGCACAACATGTTTGAAAAAAGAAAAGTGCTGCGGATTTGAGTCGGTAAAGCACAAACTCAGTGGTTGGCAATGTCTCGAACCTTCCTTTTTGGAAGACACGATTTTCCAAATTGCAAACATGCTGGTGAAGCAGGGTTGGTCGTTGTGAGTCTTCGCAGGCTTTTGGACTTAGCTTTCAGCAGGAAGCTTTGGAACAGCATGACAAATTTGAAGAAAGCATGCTGCCAAGGCACCATACATCCAGAACCAATGGGAGTTCAGAAATTGCAGGCCTGGAATATGTCAGGATGTGCAATTAAACATATATAAAGGTAAATGAACAGCCCCAGGGATCGGACCGGCCCTGCAATGTAAATTGTAAAGCCAATTGAATTCCCAAGCATATTGTGAGCTCGAAGGCATTTGATTTCACAAGTCCGGGACAGTGACTAAGGTTGTAAGGAATTGACAGTCCAGACATGCCTAGACCGTCTACTAGGATTGTGCAAATGTGTTTCATCATGCCATCATGCTAGGCAGCAGCTAATGCGATTCCTTGCGGGTCTCCAACTTAAGCTTCATGGCCGAAACGCTGCGCTGGGGATGCGCTTCCTGGGGAGTTAGGGGGTAGTCTGTGAGAATCTGGAGTCGTGGTGAGCATGCTGTTACATTATATACTGTATATATATATATGGTACTGTACCCCCCCGAGGTCCACCTTTGACATTTTCAAGTCTGAACAGCTGTCAGACTTGGGATGCAAGATTGCGATTCCTGGATTGAAGATTGAAGATTTCTGGCCAAGAGTTTTCTCACATCTTCAATCTTCAATCCATAGCCTTGTGAAGTCTGGAACTGGGAAGAGTGATGTCACACAATGAATGTGGGATCTCAAGTCTGAACACTGAATCTCAAGTCTGAACATGGGACCCGCATACTGGGTTCACCACCGTCTTGCGCACCTAGACTCAAAACAGGGTCAGTGAGACTTGAGAAAAGCAACTATGAAAAAATCTTTCAGCCCAGAAGCTTCTCTTTGGACCTCTGGGAATGACCTCCGGGAATGAACACTTCTATAATACTAAAGAGCTGTGTATAAAGGCTTTCATGTCGGGCTTGTCTTGGTGGACCACCCCAGTTACATTCCAATTGAGTTCACAGCCAGGTTACCAGGTTCTAATTGAACCCTTTTTGACTTCAAAGTATATAACCACCGCTGTAAAGTAAAATCTACATATAACTATTTGAGGTGACTTCTGAGTGGGTCCATATTAGATTTTAAGTTTTTACTAAACCTACTTGAGTTCTAATCAAAAAAGTTGCATTCGAACTCTAGTTTTTACTAAACCTACTAATCAAAAAAGTAGCATTCGAATTCTAGTAGGATTGTGTTGAAATTCCAACTGATGTAGATTTCAATTCCCAATGGAATTCCAATTGAGTTCTAATTAGATTCTTCTTGAATGCAACTAAGAAGGGTTTGAACTCTGTTTGAAACCAAGTTCAGCTCCTTGTGAGTTCCATTCCTATTGAAACCTCATTCAATTCAAATTAGACTGCAATTGAACCCTGATTAGATTCTAACTGAATACGCATTGCTTTTTGCATTAAATACAACTTGGACTTCTGGGTCCGTGTATAACACCTTACGTAATTAAATACGAGTTGCTTTTGTTTAGGTTCTGATTGAATGCCAACTGATTCCCATGATTCCCATTGAAATTCTAATTGAATGTGAGCTAGTTTCAGACTTAAACCTACTTGAGTTCTAATGATTTAAAGCAATACTTGGGTCACCATCTTTGGGAACGATCCCGTCGATGTTAAAAAACTTTGTATAAAAACGTTCATTCCAAAAGTTTCTCTTTGGATCACTTCTATATCAAAGAGCTCTATATACAATACAATACAGGGATGATACTGGAGATGAACATTTACGAAGCAATGTATCACAAACTGTTTTATAGGAAAGTTGAACAACACAAAATACAGGATAGAAAGTGGAAACAAGAAATACCTACAGAAGGTTAATGCCCATGGTTTATGGATAGTACAACCAATGCACATACTGTGGAGCGGGCTTACATTAGATATTAAAAAGGGTAGTATATCAACAAAAGGATAATGACATTAGCCACATTTTAGATAATTGCACTGCGTACTGCTTACGGTCATAGATGTAATAGCAGATGAAGATTTATACAATAAACTTGTTTATCGTATAGGCAGTATGTAGGTAATAAATAGTGGGTATATATATACTTACTAGGCAATGGATACCACACTACAGTGCTGCAAAGGATGTCAAAATAACAGTCATTAGATAGGTTTACTGAAGGGTTTAAACATCCTGCGGCAGTTGTAGAGCCAAACAGTCAAGAACATATTGTAATAGTGCAGAATACTACCAACAAAGAGGAACGAATGGAAGGAATACAGCACTGAAACGAGTAAGGAAGCAAATGGCAGAGCAAAAGCAAAGGCATCAGAAAAAATGAGAACGAATATGATGTCCAGTGGTGTAGAAAAAGCAAACACGAAAAGGGAACCTTTCATCAAGAGAATGTCAGAAAGCAAGCTCATCCAGAAGAGACAGTAAATCGTTTGATAAAGACCTAAGAGGGACGCAGATTTTATAGTATTGCTTGTAAGGGTCCTCAAAGTTGGCCTTATCAATGGAGACCGCACATAAGGACTGAAGCACCTGAACACAACAAGGCAGGTAAAATTGCCCTATAGTTATCTAATGTTCAGATGCTTTTGCAAAATCTTATTTGCAAACTCACAAAAGGTAGGCTTGGGGGGTAGCATAAATGTATATATAATAATATATATATATACCGCACTAGAGCCCCTAACTACTGTAGTGCGAAACCTGCCTTCTTCATCCAACCCCATCTGCCTATTCGGCAGGCTTCAATGTATGTTTTGACTGTCCCTTCCCACACTGAATGAGATGGATTGTGACATTTCAGAGTGGTTGCAGAATCAGAACGACATTGTTGGCGGTGGGCTATGGGGCCATGATTGTCTTGCAAGAAGCGCTGGCACGGTCAGACATTCAAGATATCCAAGGACTTTTCAAGAAGTTGAAGCAAGGCCTGGTGGATACAACTGGGCACCTTTAGCCACGGAGGATGGGAGGATTCCCCGATTCTTCGATTCGCTGAATCAACAGCTGCGCCGCTTAGCAGGCCGTACTGTAGCAGAAGGGTGCGAGCAACTCTCCCAAAATCATCTGAAAACCATCGGTGGATTGGTGCGTTGATTGTCTATGGAGTGTGCGGGGTTTACAATGCTTTGCCCGTGTGCATGATGCTCACATCTGCACCTCAGCTGAGGAATCTTTGCCGCACCGATGTTGGATGACGCTCGCGCGAGCGCCCATCAATCATTTCAAACCCTGGCTATGTCCAACCATTGGTTCCCAGGCTTAACTGCTTTGGATTGCTTTGTTGGAAGGAAGGGCAGTGACCTCGGCTTTATGCCACGACGACTCACGACGACTATAGTTCGTCCGTTAGCCTGACCGTCACGACCCCCCACGTGCTGCTAGAGTCTAGAGAGCACACCGGTCACCAATCCGTCTTATGCTGTCCGCAGAAGCAACCGCGACGAAGCTCTGACTGGATCCGAGGCTGGTAACGCTCATCCACCGGGATATCTCGAACCAGCAGGTGTTGCACCACGGAACTCACAATGAAAGACATCATCACATGTGTGGGATGCGCCGCGATTTTTTTCTGTTTTGCGTCACCATGTGTCGAGGAAATGCAACCAACAGCAATCAGTGTCGTGGCTTGGGCCTGCTTTGCAACTTGTGCAGGTGAGGGAGCACTTGCTGCGCAGCCTTCCAGACAGAAGGATTGATGATTTGTGCCGCGCCTTGGCTTGTTTTGTGTCCATTTGCCTTGCTACAGCAGCTTCAGCAGCATGCTCACGACACATATACACACACACACACTCTCACACATTGCTACAGATGGCAAGTACGTGGTGAGCTGCAGGTGTTTCAAGCACGGCTCATCACGGCTCAAACCATCGCGCACAGTATATATATATATACACCGTAAGTGCGCTGAATGCATAATTACGATATGTGATATGTCTGTTCATTTATCAAGTATATATTTTTGGCGTTACTTTACATGAGTGGGAAGGGTTTGAACAACAAGTCGCGGCCTGCACTTGGCGACTTAAGAATTCCGGCAGAAAGAGGACTTTATGGATACAGGCATAGGTTGCAAACACTCAGCTCATCATTCTTAAAATCCCGCCGAGAAACTCGGAACGACCGATCCCCGTGGTTTCTAGAGGGTTTAGGACTGTCCATCGACTGTAGCACAGTATGAGACTCAATTTTTCCAATACTAAATCCAGATGACCCCACTGCTAGTGCCCTTCTTCAACATCCTTGTCGTCCTTTTCTTTGTCCTCTTCGTCGACTTGTTGTGAACACTCGTAGCGCTGAACATCACTTGTTGTGAACACCTTTTTTTCATCTTTTTTCTATGTGTCCTATCTTCCGCCAGCATGATGCCTTGCGCATAAATGTTCCAGTGTGGAGCGACATTCAAACACATCATAAAATGTTCACTTCCTGAGGCCTCCCAACTTTCCCATGAGTGTAAGAATCTCGTCCCCATTGACACCTTCCAAAGAGTGAAATGATGCGCTAACAGCCTCAAACCTGTGGTGTGGGAGGGCCGCCGGATGTTTTGGTGCTTGGTTTGTTTCTGGGGGGCTGAATGATCACAGAAAACAGTCAACTGGAGCTCACTGCTTTGACTATGCAGGCTATTTTTCAGTTGGCCTTGTGCAAGAGGAGGATGCCAAGTCTACGAAGAAACGCTCCTCAGCCTGCAAGAGGCGGGGTAAAGATACCCAGCCGTTGTCGAAAGCATTCGAAAGCCAAAGAGGGGCTGGAATGGGAAATGGAGGGCCATCGACAACCAGGAGCACATCAGAGTAGTTTCGCCAATTCGGGCTGTTGGAGGTCAAAGACTAGCACCAATCAGCAAAGAACGCTGCAGAAT